AAGGCATGATCATGTGCAGGCTTATTTAGTAAGGGTATGGTTCAGCGGGTTGTTTTCGTCTGCAGGCATGCAAGGTTTGTGGTGTAGTGCAGATCGCAGTGCCGCCATTTTAGAGGCCCAGCTCGTGGTGCGCGCCTCCAGGTAGGTCCGGTGCTGGGCTTTGTAGGGCGATGATTCCCTCTGGTGGGGACCGGGATAACCCCCCCGGTCCATGGGGGGGGAGGCGAGGCCTGTGAGGTGCATCACAAGGCTGTTGCGTGGCGGCCAGGTTCGCAAACAGGACAGCGGCCGTCCGTCCCGTTCTCCACCCTCATAGGCCGCAAACCCCGAAGTCCTGTATCGCCCGCAAGGGGCTCTGGCACTCCCGATCTCAGGGTCTGCGGTGGCTCCAGCTTCTGCCCGGATGCTTGATATAGCTTCAGGTCACTTAGCTTGCTTTATTGCTTAAGTTTTTAGCCGTAGTGGACCAGATTGATCAGGAGCCTCTCCGGCCTGCGACCGGTCAGCATGGCGGTCAGGCCCCGCCCCCCTAAAATAAATTTTTATCACAGGGCTTTGACTGGAGGGAGCATTGGAAAGGGCAAGGTGTACAATAAAAGATGGACCTGGACCAAGCAACAAGGATAATGTGCCACAGAGATTAACTTTCCCAATGGGGTTCAACACGGCAAGTACAAAATTGTCTGGAGTAGTGAGAAACAATTGGAATATTCTCACTGGAGATTCAACCTTACCAAAGATCTTTTCCCAGAAATATGATATGTTACAGAAGAGAGAAATTTGCAAGACTTATTAGTCCATAACAAAATAGAGAGGTGCTTGCCTACTTGTATCATTTTAATTAAAACCTAGCGTTTAATATTTTGATTTAAAATATTACTGCTCGTAAATCAAAAGATAAACTAGAAAAAATTGATTAGTAGTAAGACTGTTATAGTATAAAACAAAAAATATATAAAGAAAATAAAAAACTATATCAAATTATCCAAGAACATAAAAGATGACAAGTGCTTGTAAAAGAAAAATATGTCAGATTAATTGATAATCAATTAGTATATTGCTGGAATAGCAGGCTGAGGCCAGATATAAGCTGTAGTGTTTCTCAAGAGATGCCAGCAAAGCCAAAACTGGCGATCCCAGGAGACACAAAATATCGAATAGAGTAAATATAACAATGTAATCAATCTGTATGATACATTTAAGGAAAAAAGGGGGTGAAGGGCTGTGCTATAAAATGAATAACTCACAATATATAAACTAGTGTTGATATAATACGATGAATAAAACAGAATCCATACAATAATAAAAAAAGATAAAACAAAGTCCATGCAATAGTAGAGATCAAATGTTAAAATGTCCAATAAAATGTATAATATCGTATGTATGATACATTTGTTGTAATTTTCCTTGAAGGGAATTGTCAGTATCCCAATGCTAAAGTTATAGACTCCAAAAGAAGGAACTCAGCCTGGGCCATCACCAATACCAGATAAAAAAAAAATGAAATCACTGAGTAGGTGACTAATATCCTAAAATAGTGCTTTTAACTGTCATACTGTAAACTTTTAAGCTGTGCTTTCGAGAGTACCTATTCTGTGTTAGAAAGCTATCTGCTAATCTAAGATAAGCACCAAGAATGTGCCCTGCCTATTCAACTCCAAAAGAACGTCATGTCCGAGGTCTAATTCTAAACCAAAAATCTTAAAGTAATAATTATCAGAGGATAGTGCAGAGCAGAGCCCCGACACGCGTTTCGCCAGTAAGGCGGCTCTTCAAGAGGAATGAGTCCATTGTGACAGGTTAAGTATATATCGGGAAATTCTAACCGAAATGTGTATATTTGATCCAAAAAGGTGAGTGAAAATTGATTAACAGTTAATGTATCCAATGTGAGACCACACCAGAAAGAAGAAAAGAGGTGTTTTGAATGTCTAATCTACATGAACAACCAATGGGAACGCTTAAAATGAAAATGATCGTGAAACCGTATATAATTAATAAAAATTCCATTGGAAAAGATAATCCGGATTCTTACGATGATTAATTTTCACAGTTTGTTGTAAATTAGATCAAACTGTGAGTGATTGCCTTGGAGATAAGTATTCTACCATCTCTCCATGCAAGAATAATGTATTATTAGGTGTTCGTTGTCATATCATTGGAATGATTATAATAATTTTGCTGTTGAAGTAAAAATTTAATTTTTAAATTCATAAATATTATAATTATAAGATTGTAATTAATACTAACGTATTATTGCATTGATTAATGGTGCTTTGAGTGAACATAAGATTAGTTGTGTTTCGCTATGTTATTATTATGGTTGCGGTAAATTATAGAACTTAAATACAAGTTGTTTCTCTATTATTGCAGTGTCTTAAATGTACAAAGGATTAATAGTATCTAGCTGTGTGGTTCTCATGATTGTGGTAGTCCAAGTCTTCATAATGGTACACAGCAATCGTTTCTCTATGGTTGTTTATAGCAATCATATTGTCTATAATAATACAATCATCATGTCTTTACAATCAAAAACAACTTTATGGGGTTTCTCTCAGATGGTATATAGTGAACAAACACAAGGTACTCCAATAGTTTTAATAGAGTAAGGGCAAAAAGATGGTAAGTGACTAAAAATAAATAAACTTAGACTCACAGAGAGTTTTCCAGTCAGCTCTTAATAAACAGCTTGATGTGGTATAATCCCTGCTCAAATATATTGCTAAATATTTTTTTATCTGAGATTCGTAATAGCAGATGAAATGCACATAAAAAAAGAAAAGGATATAGTGCTCATTGTATATCACAATATATAAACAAGAAGAAAGAAACGCACTTAAATTTTCGAGATGCATGCACTATTATATGCAGCCTGGGTATTAACGGACCACTATAGTGCCAGGAAAACAAACTCGTTTTCCTGGCACTATAGTTTTAATAGGTCCCACCCACCCACATGGCCCCCCTCCCGCCGAGCTCTAGGGGGAGGAAGGGGTTAAACACTCACCTTTCTCCAGCGCCGGGCTCCCTCGGCGCTGGGGACTCACCTCCTCCTTTGGACGTCATCGGCTGAATGCGCATGTGCGTCAAGAGCCGCGCACGCATTCAGTCAGTCCATAGGAAAGCATTCTCAATGCTTTCCTATGGACGCTGGCGTCTTATCATTGTGAAAATCACTTGAGGCTGGATTGACCCATATGTAAACATAGCAAATGTTGGCCATTTGGCCAAATGGCCAAAAAAGTAGAAATCACTATGTAGTATACTCCCAATGAATACATGCAAGTATTTTTCATGCATATATTAATTGGGGGTATATATTAAAAGGCCTTTGCAAGACCTTTCCTTTTTCCCTGGAAGAAACTAAGGGAAATAGTCTACTAAGGCAAACAGTCTCTTTACAGGGAAAAAGCCTATCAGACGCTTCTCACTGAGAAGCCTCTGAAGCTCTCCCTCCGTGCATGCGTGCACTAGCCGTGTGCACACACAGCACAGCGTTCAGATTTGAAGTCTGAGAAGTAGGTATGCAGCGGGCGAGGCAAGTAGAGCATGCCTACCACTTACGTTAGCTTAGAGGTACTAATGGAAGCAAGAAGAAGCCTCCTCGGCTGCCTGATGGACAACCACAGGGTGTTTCATTCATTCATTATAAAAGTGTTTATTTCTCGTAGAAATCAGCCCTTTTATAAACTGTCATTGTAATGAGATACTTCTTACCCATAAAGCACTTCAGTAAGCTGGGTGTTGAGTGGCTTTTTAATAATGCAAAGAGTCTTCAGTCACAATTTACTTTTTATTCCAATGTAATGTGTTCATCAAAACATTCAGTTGTAAAACAGCTTTTCAATAAATTAGTATAAAAATAGAAAAATAATCAACAAATCAAAGTCTCCACAGTTTGTATGCAAAATTGATTTTACCATGTATACAAATATAAATTAGACATTAGGACATTGGTTTAATATTGCTGGATAAGCTTTTCAAATTATTTCATGTTTTGATAAATATCTTGAGTTTGTAATATTTTGATATTTATTTGATACATTTACATATTTTTCTACATTTGAATATTTAAAAAAAAATATTTTAAAAGTTTATCACAAAATATTAAATCACTTGGAAAGTTTATCCAACAATATTACAAATATAAATTAGACATTAGGACATTGATTTAATATTGTTGGATAAGCTTTTCAAATTATTTAATGTTTTGATAAATATCTTAAGTTTGTAATATTTTGATATTTTTTTATACATTTACATATTTTTCTACATTTGAATATTTAAAAAAATATATATTTTAAAAGCTTATCAGAAAAAATTAAATCACTTGGAAAGTTTATCCAACAATATTAAATTAAGGCCTAAGTAAGGCATTTCATTCAGACTGACTTTTACATTTTCTGTAACCACTTTAACCCATTTGTAAACCAAATGATTGAAATTTACAGTACAGATTAGGAAGCTATATCCACACATCATTTCATCATGTTCTAGAATATGTTGCACTGTAGTATTTGCTGCCAATTTCCCGATTGATTTAAAAAAAATTTCAATTAACATGTTTATTATAGTTTATAGTTTGTCAGTTTATCACAAGTTACCGTTTAGTGGATATACCCAACTTTTGGTAAATAAATACTGTAGGCACTGGTTGTGAAAAGGAGGTGCAATTAAATGATGGTTCTAGGGCAGCAACAAGATTTATGTCATTGTAAAGCACACAAATTTAAATGCACACAGCTACAAATGCACAGTTCATATTTATAAAAATAATATATTAACAAAAATATATTTAAATAAATAACATCAATAAACTGTTTCCCGGATCTGTATTTTTTTATTCCAGTCTGGGTTTTTTCGAGGTACAAAATATTACATCAATTTCAGATTCAGAAGTTTTTCCTGTAAACATCCATGAACTGCTGGAATACATTCCTTAGATAACAAAATAACATATTATTAAATAAAATAAATACATAAATAAAGAATTAATTTTTCGATCCTAGCGTCCCTACTGGAAGCCCAGTTTTTTATGCATGAATCTCTTAACACTGGTCCAAAAATGCAGGGGTTTTTTTTGTGTCTGCTCACGAAATCCAGGGTGGATTAATCAGTGTCTTCTTAAAGAACCAAATGTGCTTAAATGACACTGAGAAACGTATACACAGATTTAAGAGGCAACTTGACTTCCTTTCATTTGTGCAAAGCTATTGTCGCTGATGCACATGTTGTTGTTTTTTTAGGTTTACATTTGTAATATAAATATTCCGCTAAATTCACATCTGGCCTGCAGATTGTTTTAGCGTCAGTGTTTGAGGTACATATATTGCAAGTATATCACTTTGGTGCATGATCAGAACAAGTGGCTTGGTACTGTGTCCCTTTTGAAGTACGAGTTTAAAGATTCCATCACATACTTAATACATTCAGTGATGAGTGATTAGAGTAGCTAGTGCAACTGGACACACAATTATCTTTGGCTTGCAGTTTCCACAATGTTTCAGATCAGAGCTGGTAATGTCTTGGCACAATGCAGTGTTAAGGGCGAGTGAAACTTTCACTCTTTGACCTCAAATATTACTATACTCTTCAAGACACAACTATGAGGTTTATATCGCTGGTAAATACACTTCACAATACAGGCTAGAATAACCATATTTCCTTCCCTTTGCATTTCTAAGGCACTGAAGTAGACCGCCGTTGTATTTGGTGACCCTTTTTTGTTTCACTTTGCAACTGGTATTCATGACCTTAGTTCATTTGGTCCATTTGCGTGATCCAGTTATAAGTGCACTCTTCCTACCATCCAATTGTTTGATAAATGTTCCTCTTTCTTATTTTCGGCCAGAGTTCCGCAGTGCCACAAAATCAATTTCAGCAGCTTGAGAGATGATATTTCTATACTTCATAATAACTTTGCAACCACTAATTTTCTTAGCATATGTCGAATTGTTTTGTGAGAAATATGTATGGTGGCGTCTGACAGTGTCCTGATTCCAAATGTTTGCTTTGCAAAGGTAACACCTGAGATTGAGAATAATGACTTCGATCCCTGTCTCAGTATTATCCAGTTGATCAAACCACGGTTGTCTAGATGTCAGGGTCTTTTGGAACTCTGTGACATTGTGTAGCGCGTCCCTTATGTTAACAGAAATATTGTATAACTCATTCATTGTCTGCTCTATGCTGTTGTTCTTTGTCTTAAGGATACCTTTTCCTGATTCTGGGTTACACTGGCTCAGGTTTGTAATGCCATTTCTTTGAATCTACAAAAAATAAAAATCAACAATGTTACTCAAACCACATACTTTAATATTTTATCCTATTGTAAGGCAAGTAATACTGAAGTATGCATGTGCATGTATTCACAAGTATTTTAAATGTAAACATGATTCATCATTACAATGCTATTAAATAGTGCAACCACGGTCATGTTTAGTAAATCTTTGTTCCAAAACAGCTCATTTTACAGTAGTCTGTAAACTTTGTAGCTACGTATGGTCACTTTACCAAAGATCAGGCATTGTTTAAAAAAACAAAAACAATTATATATATAAAGTACACGCAAGCAAGCACCTTCTAAACAGTATCTGGTAGTGATAAATTGCTTGAAAATTCAGAAAATGTCAAGATTACATTTTTTTGTATTCTTTTTTTTTTAAACTTGTCACAAGTTTTGGAAGTAGCCAACTCATCAAAAAAGTATGTAGAAAATTGGCCCATTGCCTTTGCATTGTATATATTCAGAGCAGGAAGAAGGATAGCTTTGACATATATCTAGTAGGATGTGGGGTGTATAAAAATCTATCAGGTAGTTTAGAGTTGCCTCTGGATGGAACATTTAAGTAATACCTAAAATAAAAACCAAGCATTATTTAAAGTTAATACTTTTAATCCATTCCCATTGCAATGTACCGTAATTAAAAATGTAAATTACTTTAAAAAAAAAAAAGTGGGCCCAGGACTGTTATTTGAGATCTAGGCTAGCAGTATGACTCAATATCTTTCCCTCGTGTTTCATCACAAGATGACTTTGGGGCCTGTTAAATTATTAAGAGGGAAGGAGGGCTTTCTCTTTCAAGATGAGTAACATGGGAGGCCAGTGTTAGGAGCAAAATAAAATTTAAAGAAATCTAATCAATCAAATTTATCCTCTGAAAATTTAGTGGGAGACTTATGGTCAGCAGAGATTAATGACCAGTTAAATGACAAAGAAATATCTTTGAATTGATTGATTAGGTAAACATTACATTGACCAGAAAACCAAAAAAAAAAAAAGATTTTTCCAGATTGGCTCTTGGCCTGAAATCCCAGTTCAGTTAGTTCAGGTAATACCACTGACAGTGCAAGAACGGCATAATTTTTCTTCCAGTCCTGTGAAGGTAGCTATAGATTGCTGCATTTGTATGTACAATAAAAGGGATTTTTAAAAATGCCAATGACACTGGTAGAATGGTCTGGCAAAGTTCTAATAGTGCAAAGGCATTGACCGCAATGAAATATTCCTGGTGATTCTATTAGCACGCATGCCAAATTTTTCTAAACGTCCCCATATAACCTGCCCTTTACACTGTACTGTTACAGCAGGGGACAGAGATCCATCAGTTATACAACTGTTGATAGAATGTATCCTGTACAATCCAGTTATTTCATCAACACCTGGGGAGCTGACACCACTGTGATAACAATGCTTTAGTGTACTTGTTATAATCATTTTCTGAGTGTTCCTATTATTCCAAAACCACACAAATGTCACTTACATATTGGTCAGTGAGATTCTGCGCGATTGCATTCATCTGTCGAATCTTGTTTTGTATCTGTACAACAATTGTGTCAATATCACTGCAGTTATTGCTGTGCACACAGCTTGTAGAGCTCACTGGCATGGCCCTCCCCATCATCAGACTCCAGTTCTGGAGGAAAAGAAGTTGCACAATTCCTGTTCAGAAGAAAAACACATGTTTCAGATTATTATGTTGAATAGTTTGTTTTCATCCCAATGACAAAAGATATCTGTAAACTCCCTTCAGTGAGGGAACAGAATTTACAGCATTAAGCAAAGTCCTCCTTCTGCTTTTTGAGTGCATCATAGGAATCCAAAGGGAGTTAAACAGTTTTTGTGTTAGTTTGACATTTTTTCATGTGAACAGAGTTTTAAATCATCTTGTTTATACTGTTATCCGTGTTTAAAACCAGCTTTCAGTTAATCACAAAATACAAAATGTTTGAGGGGAAAAAATGTCAATTTTAAACTAGTAATAAAAACTCAAATAACCATTCCAAAAAATATATATGTATCTTTTAGGCTAAGGCCCAAATGTCATTCAGCAGTAGTCCCTCCCTAAAATATAAATCTACCCCTCCCCTTAAATATATATGCAGTGCACATGCTGTTACTGCTTAAATGGTTAAACACATTTAAAGCATCATCTTTAGAACTCAATGGGACACATGATAACTTTACATTTTTTTTTAAATGTTTTAGGCATGCTCTTAGTTCTCTTTAACAACTCTGGTACTGACAGGGTTAAAAGTATGACCAATATTGTCCTCAGCAAAAACATTTTGTTGTAGAACTAGACTAATACCTAAAGTAAATGGTAATCACAAATAAACATCACTGTGGCAAACGTATTCTGTAACCACACTTCAAGGTAGCCAGGGTCCCCATTTTTGTAGCAATAAATAAATATATATATATTATTAATAATAGTAATCATCGTCATCAACTCATTGAACAATAGTATTGACTCCAATACCACCCTGTATGTACATTCCCATAAATATGTCACACTGAAGGATCACTTCAATTAACTCATTCTATCACCGAGTGCCAGTAACTTGTTAAATGTGCAAAGCTCCCAAATAGTTTGAAACTTCGAGGAGAAAAAAAAAAGTTGGAAAAAAAAACTGTCATTTAAAAAAAAAAAAAAAAAAACCTCCAAAAAAGAAAGTCGCTGTGTAAGTAGAGAATGTAAATGTCAGCAGCCACTCGTGCCATGAGATAGGAAGTTCTGCTTCCGAATACATATTCAGCTGCTCTATCAAATATGCTTGGTATGCTAGCTTGTCAGAGAGCCCAGAAGTTTGGGAGAGAAACTGATCACCAAAGTTCGTAATCGTTCTGAAAATGCCAGGAAGCACTAATTACCTGCTAACAGCTTCATATTACAAGTATTCCCAAATCCCACGAGGGCAAGTTGCTGGATTCTGGGTTGGTGTAGGTTTTCTTGTTCAAATTTGGAGCAAACCATGACTTATATAGCAGAGAATGTATGAGGGAGAAAAAAAAATCCAGAAAGATACAAACCCTTTTTTTCTGGGCCAATCAGATGTGGTAGGAAGTCAGGCTGAGACTTCTAAGAAGAATTATCAACCGATGAGACCAAATCACTCAGTGGAAAATAAAGAGTGGGCTCTACCTGTATGATGTAAATTCCCAGACACAAACCCTATCGGAGTGCTTGCTGACTCACACTTTCTCTTTGTTGAAATTCAGTCACTCTGTTTAAAAGGGAAAGTTGTAAAATGAACACTGGGTAGCAGGCCATTCACAACTCAGAGTGTCACAGGCAAAAATTCCACATACTGTAACTAAAGGATTTGGAGTATGACCATACTATGAGAAATCAGTGGAAGTCTACACACCGACCATCACGACTTAAACACACTGTATCAGTCAGTGCTGGCTAATCTTGGCACCCTTCATGTCTGATCTATGTCCAGACAGTGTTTAGAGTCAGAAAACATTAGACATCACTGCATTAGGTAGACACTGTAAAAAAAAGGGAAAGTGTAAAAAAATAAAATAAAAATGAATTTTATATATGTGTGCATATATACACATATCTGTGTTTTTGTGTTAAATTCATCCGCTTTACTCCTTATACACTATCCTTTATAAAAAAAATAAGACATTTTTCCCAATTACTTCTAAATTCTGTGTTATTAAATTCATTCCATTCACTATTTCCGCTGGAAGGCTAAATTTCAGGTAAATAACACTTTTTGCCAATTATCTTCTAACTTTCAATGATAGCCTTTCGTTACTTTGGTAGCCAGATGTCTGTGGACTACATTTCATATGATCCTCAGCCAGCCATTTCCACTGACCGTAGCCAGTGCTGTCCACAGTTTTAGAACTTCGCTTGAAAATAATTTCAACTTTTTAGTCTGGTTTCTTAATTTTTGCAAGTATGGGTTACCAGCTACTCCTCACGTAACATGATGATAAATAGTAAGTAATATGCACTTCCGGTGAGAGCACACAGGGATGTACGTGGTAATGGGTACCATAATCTGCTAAACTTTTACTAAAACGATATCCTTTCAGCATGAGTTGACATAATCCCTGGTAGTATTAATGCCTATTCATGAAAAGGTATGCCTGTATTTAGTCACTGATTGCATAACTGTAAATATAAAACGACGCGTGCTTCAAAGTGCTTAAAAATACCTACCAAAAATCCACATTCTTTAAGCAGAGCAAAGGCAGGTACACTAAACAGACTTCTCTCCAGCCACAGGAAGCGTCCCAGAGGGCATATGTGCATCCTGAACACAGTTAAGGGGGAGACACCCAGAGACATGCCTGGACATGGTTAACGTTCATTTTACTTGGAATTCTATAGGGAATTCTAACACACACCACCATCCATAATCACTGTAACAAAAGTAAAGTTGGAGTCAAGGAAGAGTTATGAGGGGTACTGTAATTATTTGTTATTGTTATATATAATATATCATATAATATACGATGGGTTTTGTTCACTAAACAGCAAGTGTCTTGGAGTTTTGTTTTCTTTAGCTCACTAATTTTGCAGGAATGATAAACCACTAAAATTCACTGTTTGCTGAACAATTCCAACCGTATGTTTTAAATCAGGGATAGTAAGCCATTCTCCAAATGTATCATCTTTGTTACCTGCTAGTTTATTACATAAATCATAAGTGTGCCTTGTTTCTCATTTGAGGTGTTATGAATAGAGGTTCATATTTCTTAATTGAACACTCTACTGCCCAAATAGGCTAAGAAATATATATATATTTAAAATCTCTATTTAGTAGATATACCCCAATTAAATTTTTCATGCATGTATTCATTGGGGGTATATCTTACAAAAATCTTACAATTGCTACAGATCTTGTGAACTGCAGCATTAGCAAGCCCTCCCCTTTTTTTCCAGAAGAGACTTTTAGTATCTGCACAGGGAAATAACCATTTAGAGGCTTCTTATGTACATGCGCGCACACCTCTGGTCTGAGGTCTGGAGGAGCTGGTCTGAGATCTGTGTGGAAGGAGTCAGGCACGCTCAAGTGGAGCATGCCTACCACGTCTGGTAGCTCAGGGGAGCTAACTGAAGGAGTTTGCAAACCTCCCTGTCTGTTTGGTGTTCCCTAATTAATTAATTATGTAAGAGTGCAGATTTCTCTTTTATAAACTGGGGTTAAACTATGATACTTCTCAACCATAAAGCACTTTGGCTTGGGTAAGGAGTGGTCCTTCAAAGTGCCAGTACAGCTGCAATGGTCAATGTTTATATGCCACCTTCAGAGGTGCCTAGTTGTTCACAAGCAGACAACTTGCCTACTGTGGATTGAATAGTTGTACACTTGTGATCCCTGTAGCAGAGCTTTCCCCCTTCTTGAAACTGAATCCAAAATAGCCAAGCTGAAAAAACAGATAATATTGAAAAAAACGAAACAAAAAAACACCCAGATGATTTAAAATAGAAATAGAAAAAAAATCCCTAACACAGCTTGGATATTTTTTATCTAAATTGTGTATCTTTGTTTCCATTTCTCTCAAATTTGGTAAATGGGGAGAATAAACCATTTAATGTTGTCACTCGGTGGTTTATTCACTAAACATTGAACATGGTGAACTGGAAAATTCAGGCTAAAATAGAAAAACCATGGCTATAGATGATTGCATTTTTATCCGATCAACTAGTTTAGTTTACATTTTTCAATTCAGTTTTCAATTCACAAAAATTCAAAGTTAAGGCCAAAGTAGCTAAACTGGAAACATAACTGGATTAGAGAATTTTTCCAGTTTGGCTATTTTGACCTTAATTTTGAAATTCACTTTAAGTCTCACTTAAGTAAATAACAAGTTAACTCTTGTGTGCCCTATATCCTACCATGGTAAATATAGTAAGTATACACACCCAATATGATCTCAAAATCTGATAAATACTTATCATAATTTCTGGATGGTGAAAGTGCAAAACAATTCACAACTCTTCAATGGCTAGGTGATGTGTTAAAGAAGCTAATTATCTACTGTTTGGACCAGGCACAATGATTGACTAAATAAAACACAATAACTAAATAAACTCCATGCGCTAGGATAACTATATATTTACATTCCTCTTGTGTTTAGATATACAAAGGTTTGTAACCTTTAGATAGTTTGGTGTGATGGTTTATAAGTGCAGAGTTGAGTTAGGGTGCAGTGAGAGTTTAAATGGCACATTGTGTGTAACCAATACATGCTGTTTATTGATTTAATGATAACCCAATTTTACATTGTATTTATTAAGTGGATTGTATCTTGGTATGGATGTGCTAATTATATTTAAATATGCTAATTCTATTTACATGGTATGCCTAAACTATGTATCTAAAAGGGTTCTGAAGCTTGCACTCTAATTGATCTTATTTAGCTAATTATGTGACAATCCAGTTTCCACATCTGAGACATGGGCACAAATACTGTCATCTTGGTGTCTAATGGGTTCAGTAATAATCTACTAATTAGCAGTATAAACCAAAATTGATAAAAGAGACACCTTAGTCTAAACTCTCTACATATATTGATTCAAGAGTAATGAAGTTTAGTTTATGGTAAAATTGCTGAGCACCTTTAAAATCATGGTTCTAATTGTTCTAAGGCTCTAGGATCCAGAGAAATGTAATTTTTGCTGTGAGTTATATTCACTAAAATCCAAATGACCCTGGTCTAAATTGCCAATCTTTATTCTTATTTACCCCCTAGCTGCTGGGGCAGTGGAATAATTATATATGTATTTTTTAAAATTCTATTTACGTCTATTTATTTGTATGTGGTGACTGGCTTGTGAGAGCTGACAGTTGAATTTTGTTCATCCATGCTAAATTCAGTATTTAGGGAATAATCTCCATTGCCTATGCATAGACATAATTTCCTGGAGTGCATTCACATATATTTTGTATATATCATTGATATTGCTCCCGGGACAATTAGAATCTACAGAGAAATGCTGTATCTACGCATTTCTTGTATGGTGTTCTACGCAAAGAATATTCTGGGGAAAATGTAGTTATTCCATTTACCTAGCAATTGATGCATGTGATGGGTCTTTATGACATTTTACACAATGATATGCCTAGAATGCCTTGGGTTTTGGTTTGGAGGAGTTAAATTATTACTAAATAGAGATGTCATTAGAAAGGTTATATGAGCTCCACATTTGCATCACAAGGCATGTCTGGGCAGTTCATTCATTAATTTAACTTCCTCAGAATCAAAATAAGGAAAAAACCCTGCATCCTGTGATTGTGTAACTATTGAAATGATGAAATTAAATGTTGCATCTTAGTTACATATTTTTTTTATTGGTAGCAGCTATGCAAACATAATCGAATATATATTTTTAATTGTTTTAAAGGAACACTTCCAGCACCATTGCAATTTACACCATCTCAGTAAAGTTGTGTAGTGCCAGGAGGTCCTTAGCACTATCTTACAGTAAATGGTTAGTTAAACTGTTTGTGAATGGTATAACCCATAGCTGTGTAAATGGTGCCCATTTGTTCAGTCCTTCTACTTCTGGGCACATCTTTGGATTCAGTGCGCAAGTGCAGGTGATAGGCGGAGAGCATCAGCAGGTACTCTCAGCCTATCACTAGTTTCTCATTGAAAAAACTGTGAGTTTATTTATCAAAGACTGGCTTTTGTCTGGATGAAAAAAATGTGATGAAAATGGTCAAATTCCGACCAGAATGGAAATTTTCATTTTTACAAAAGACAATTCCAGTCGGAATTCAGTTACCCCAACTAAATCTCTACCAATCAGCTGGATGAAGTATTAGGAGAGAAACAAAAATCTTGTGACTCTAATTGAGATTTTGCATCACGTGTCTTGGGGAGGAAGTTAAACACTGAATATATGTAGTCCAGACTAGGCGGGGGGAATTGAAATGCAGTGTGAAAGGCCAAAATACTTAAGGGGGAGCTCTAAAACCGTAGTAGCAAGTCGGTACTCATGTC